GTTGCCTATATCATTTCTGATCACATCCCATCAGCCAACATTTAGTCTCATGACAAACCTAACTGCAAGGGATACTGGGAAATGTAGTCTTTATTCTGAGTGGCCACGAACCTAGTTAGACATGCCTCTAATATAGAAAGAGGAGAACAGCTATGGAGAGACACCTACCAGAATTGCCTATTTCATAATCACAACATATCAAGCTGGGCTTAACACTTTACTCAACGTTCACAACATTATCTTCCTTAATGCGCACAACTTTACGAGGTTGCAACTATTATGATTCTTTTTTACAGGAGTATTTTGAGGCACTGAGGAGTTATGTAATTTTCTTAAAGTCTCAGATATAAAAAGTGACAAGGCCGGGATTTGAACCCAGGCAGTCTGCCTTCAGAGCCCTATGCTCTGGGCCACGATATAGTGCTTGCTTGTTTGTTAACTCTCTTGGGCCTTGATGTGTTCTGCTAGATGAGATGGGGGATTGTTGAAGGCATCAGGGATCAAAGATGCTTGGTGAACTGTTATTTATAGCTTCCTCTTCCAGGCAGCTAATTGCTTCCATTCCAAAATTCCTGTCTTCTTCGGTGCAAAATAATGTTCAGTACAATTGAGTCTAGACAGGGTAACAAAAGAAAAAGAATGCCACACAAATGTGACAGGAATTTTAATGAAAGCAATTCCTGATTTGAAAGGAGTATGTCTATGCAATGATAAAGCAGGCAGTCTTTGTAATGCATTGAACATTTTTGATGATGGGATGGAAAAAAATGAATTCAGTGTATCACAAGGATATAGCAGGGAAAAGATTCTATCATTTAACTACAGCTGAGATAGTTTAACTCTTCAGTCTTTAAGATTTCAATTACATATGGGTCATCAATTTGCATGTTAATATCAGCACATCTGTGTAGCAACAAGGAAATCTAAGGAATAAACTAATATTTTAAAACGCAAGAGCATTCTGAGTTCATCTCAAATAAAGAATTGGTGTTAGCTGGTATTAAATGTCTTCAACTTTTTTTTTATTTTTATTTTTCATCAGGTTTTAACTGTTGATTTGGGGCCGTATGTATCTCTACTACACTTTTCCATCCATCTCCCACGCTCTTTGATTCTCTCCAGACAAGAACAAATGGAGTAATTGGTTAGATTTTTGATATTGGCAAGAATCAAAATGGTTTTTCTTTCTGAACAACAGTGTAGGTATGAAGTTAAGGAAGATAGAGAAAGTTCGGGAAGTTCTTAATGAGTAATTGAGAACACTTTTTGTAGTTTTCTCAGGCTTGGATTACTTTTTCAGAGTGTGTTTGATCTCAGTTTTAGCCAATTTTAATTTGACTTTATTCTCAATAGACCCAACATTGTACATATTTTTCTCTTCCCATTCTCCTTTTAATAATGATGGCTTCATATTGTAAAGGCCTTTATAATTTACAGAACACCCTACCATACTTTATTGCCTCTGACTCCTATAAACAGCCTTGGAGGAAGATATAAAAGGAATCATTATCTTTATTTGGAAGTTGAAGTAACTGAGACCCAGAGAGGTTAACTTGAATGCCCAGTGCCATCTGGTTAGCAGCACGGCTGAGTTTTCCTTCCTTCCCTTCACTCTTTACCTTTTTTTTCTCCTTCCTTTCCTCCCCCTTCCTCTTCCTCTAGCACTTCTGCTTGTGCTTTCTTTTATCCATTCAATCAAATGATACCTGTTATGTTCCAGGCACTAGGTTATGTGCTATATATAACATGCATAGCTCAACACAGCAGATATGGTCTTGCCCTCACGGAGATTATAGAGGAATTGGCAAGACGAACATTAAACCAGTAAAAACAGCCAAATGTACAAATAAAAATTACAGTAAGTAAAAAAAAAAGTTACAGTAAGTGCCATAAAGAAAAAGAACACGGTTCTGTGAGTGAGACAAAGATGAGTATCTGCTATAGATTTGGTGGTCGGAGAAAGCCTCTTTGGGGAAGCAGCAGTAAAACCAAAATAAAAAGGATACAGGGAAGTCAGATGAAGAAGCAGCCAGATGAAGAACTAGGCTGGACTTATCAGGATGGGCTAAGTGCTGCTACAATAACAGCCCCAAACTCTTAGTGGCTTAAAACCATGAAGGTTTATTTCTCATTCGTGCTGCCTGTCCATAACGAAACGGCTGAGTATTCTCTTTTGTAGCATCCTCAGACCAGGACTTAGACAAAGAGTGGACACTATTTGGGACATTGCCATTCTCCATGCAAAGAAGACGGTATGTGGTAAACCATGCACTCGCTCTTAAAGCTTTTACCTGGAATCACATCCCACATTTCAGGGACCAGTGTTAGTCACAGGACCACATTTAATGTCAAGAGACGGGGCTGTGTGGTCTGACTCATTCCACTTTCCCAGCCTCCCTTGCAGCTAGAGGTGGTGATAGGACACTGTCTGATCAGGGGAACCTAAGGAGAACTCTGATGGGGGGGAATTCCAAGTCAATTTTCATTTTTCTGTCAAGAGACAGGTACAGCCAACACAGCTGGTCCCTGCCTCCTGTCTTAAACGCGGATGCTCTCCTGGAGCTGGCTGGCCATTTTGCCTAAGAAGGATAAGCCACAACTTGAAGATAGGGCACCTTCAGGATGAAAGGATCCTGAGTCCTTCAGTGACCTGATTTGCAGCTGAACTAATGTAAGAACTGCCTGTTACTTGGAACCAGAAGCATTTCTAGCCTATGTAGGTGCGGGAGATGAACAGATACTGTGCTTGAAGCCCAGAAAGTCACCTATTCCCCTCTCCAGGCTCCCAGTACTCCCTCTCTCCTTGATACCAATTCTCCACTTGCATACTTTTTTTCCTAGTTCCAGTTGCCCTCCCTTTAACCTTTCTCCTGAGTGTCTGAAAATGGCTATGTCCATTTCATGTAAATTATCCTAGGCATGATTAAATTAGGTCAATTTCTAAGAGCGATCTGAAAAACCAGGCTGTTTAATATTTAGTGCCAACCTGTGGAATTCTTTCCATCCTTTCCCACAATCTCAGAGATGCCTCCCAGGATATGTGGGACAATTAGCACCAATTGCCTTAAAAATGTGCTGACTAGTGTGTTGGGACCTTTAAATTCCTGCTTCCTCATGGCCTGATTTTACATGGGGCCCCAGGTCTTTTTCAGACTCTAGAACTGAACTAGATGAAACCTGATTGCTAAATTGAGTCCTGTCAGTGGAGCACAAAGAAAGATGCAATGAAAATGTTTCACTACGGGGCACCTGGGTGGCTCAGTCGGTTAAGCGTGGTCTTTGGCTCAAGTCATGATCCCAGCGTCCTGGGATCAAGTCCTGTGCGAGGCTCCCTGCTCAGCGTGGGGGTCTGTTTCTCCCTCTCCTTCTCCCTCTGTTTCTACCCCCCACTTGTGTGCTCTCTCTCTCTCAAATAAATAAAATCTTAAGAAAATGTTTCAGTTTATGGCCATAATTTCTCCAAGTGGTCTCACCCACTCTAAGGACCTACTAAGTGATTAAGGAACTGGTAAGTTGAAGTGATTCAGGCACCTGCTCATGGAATTTTTTTTCCAGACAAGAATTTGCCTCTGGAATGTCCTGGAATACCCCTATTTTCTCCATTTATTACTCTTTAGCCCAGCAGCCTATTCAGATAGGACTGCTATTCATGATTGCTGTCTTTGTTCTACCCATTTTAATTACCTTGTTTCTTTGTCATTGTTGCATGCATTGTTGTAGATTTCGAATTAGTGTTTTGTGTCTCTTGTGCCCTGAGTTGTTCAAACATCTGTTGTGATTCTCCAGATGATACAGTTGTGGTTTTCAAATGAGAACTCATTCTGTTATCTTAAAGCTTGTAGCTTCTGCAAGTTTTCAAAAGTAAATTGTCTGGAGCTTTTCTTGCATTCAATTTCATAAGCCAGTTGTTCATGAAAAAAAAGGACATAAGGGTACTTTGTAAGCTCTAAATCAGGAATTAGGAAAACTTGTTGTGGGTTCTTGTTTGTGTTCTGGTAGATAAGAATGAGGACCTAAGAGCACTCTATATCTGCCTGTTGTAACACATGAATCATCTTGTGTGGTTTGTCCTCTTCTTGGCTAACATGAGGCTAATGGGAATTTCTTAGCAGATACCCTGTTTTGACTCATTCTTGTCTCTGAATACCAGAATGCCTGGCATACAATAGACACTTTTGAGAAATGTTCATTGGATGAATGGAGGATACAATTAATCAAAGGTTTTAGAAACCTTACTCCTCCCTTTTTAAATTCCCATTTAGAAATCTCTCCTTAGGCTAGGAATTAGAAGACCTAGTTTCTGGCTTTATGTAGACTGCTCACTATCTTTAACGTGAATGACATAACACTTCACAAGTTATTTTGAAGACCCCAAAGAGGTAACAAATAGTTTATAACATTTAAGTACCTTATTATCTAGCACAGAATTGGGTCATGAGCAGTATATTCAAGAAACTAAAGTCATCATTCCTGCTTTTGGGGAGATGCTAGTATAGTCTGGTATAACAAAGCTCAGTACAACAAATGTAAGAGGAAATGATATGAGATGTGTGAAATGATTCTGGGATGTTTGTTTTTTTCTGGAACATAGAAATGTTGTGTTCAAGAAGGGACTGGAGGGGTGCCTGGGTGGCTCAGTTGGTTAAGTGTCTGACTCTTGATTTTGGCCGAGGTCATGAGATCGAGCCCTGCTTCAGGCTCTGCACTCAGCACTTGCAGAAGTTAGGATAGAATGGCAATAAGTACTAAGAGCAAAATCGTACTGCTAGTGGAAGATGTCAAAATTCAAATGCTAAGACACAAGCGCTATGTTTTTCAACTACTGATATCAAAGGATTGTTGATTCAAGAGAGAGAAATTGTGTTTTCTGAAAGTATCTGGTTCTGACTACCTGATTCTTTCAAATCTTCTTCCGAATGAAAATAACCCTTCAATGAAGAGAGCTCCTCTCCTGTTTTCTTTTTTTGTTAAGTGATTTTTTTTTTCCTTTTTCCTTCTAGGAAGCTGAAAAATGAACTCTTAGAAGCAAAACGTAGAAGTGGGAAGACTCAACAACAAACCAACAGAGTCTGCGTTCACTGCCAGAGAAACCTGGGCTTAATATTTGACCGAGGAGAGCCGTGCCCGGCCTGCTCCCTGAGAGTGTGCAGCGAGTGTCGGGTCTCAGGCCTTGATGGCGGCTGGAAGTGCACTATCTGTGCCAAAGTCGCGTGAGTTTCTTGCCCTGATGTGCAAAGGCAGATCTGATGACTGAAGGGCTTGGTGTGGGGAAAGAAAAAAAGAAAGGGGTGTTTAAAATTTAAGGATAGAGAGTGGAATTAAAATCTAGCCCAACCCAGGCTCAGCAATGCCTTCGTAGAATTCTGGGGCTGGGGGCAGGGCGAGGGTGGCGGTGGTGAGCATGAGCGAGTAAACACGAGCGAAATAGAGGCAGAGAGTGGTCTTTTTAGTTTTGAAAACTATGAAACAGTAAAATTGGAAGCTTCACAGAATGAGGTCTCCTACATTTGAAAACCACCCACGAGCTTTCTTCACTTCTAGCCCCACCGGACTCCACGTGTTTTCTCAGAAGCACAGGCCAACTCCTCAAGGCCATCCTTAGAGGTTTGGGGTCACTGGCAAGATGAGTATGAAATATCCAGCCTGCTCTCCTTAGCAGCTGAGGGGCAAAATTTTTCTGCATTTATTGAAATGATCATATGGTTTTTATCTTTTCTCTCTGTGATGTATCATGTTGATTGATTTGTGAATATTGAACCACCGTTGCATCCCAGGAATAAATCCCAGTTAATTATGGTGAATGAGTTCTTTAATGCATTGTTGGATTCAGCTTGTTAGTATTTTGTTGAGGATTTTTGCATCTATGCTCATCAGATATATTGGCCTGTAGTGTTCTCTCTCTCTCTCTTTTAGTATCTTTATCTTGTTTTGGTACCAGGGTAAAGCTGGCCTCATAGGATGAATCTGGAAGGTTTCCTTCCTCTGCTATTTTTTGAGTACTTTGAGAAGAATAGGTATTAACTCTTCTTAATGTCTGTGAAGCCATCTGGTCCTGGACTCTTGCTTATTTGGAGTTTTTTGACTACTTTTTCAATTACAATTGCTGATAATCTGTTCAAATTTTTTGTTCGTGATTTAGTTTTGGGGAGTTATATGTTTCTATGAATTTATCCATTTCTTCTAGACTGTCCAGTTTATTGGCATATAATTTTCCATTATATTCTCTTATAATCCTTTTGTATTTCTGTCGTGTTGTTTGTTTTCTTTCATTTCTGACTTTGTTTGTTTGACTTCTCTCTCTCTCTCTCTCTCGATCAGTCTGGCTAGAGGTTTATTGTATTTGTTGCTCTTTTCAAATAACCAGCTCCTGGTTTCATTGATCTCTTGTTTTTTAGTTCCTATTTCATTTATTTCTGCTCTAATCTTTGTTATTTCCTTCCTTCCGCTGGTTTGGGGTTTTGTTTGTTCTTTTCTAGCTCCTTTAGGTGTAAAGTTATGTTGTTTATTTGAGAGTTTTCTTGCTTCATGAGGTAGGCCTACATTGCTATAAACTTCCCTCATTGAACAGCTTTTGCTGCATCCCAAAGATTTTGGACCATTGTGTTTTCATTTTCATTTGTCTTCATGTATTTTTTAATTTTCTCTTTGATTTCTTGGTTGACCCATTCATTGATTAGTAGCTTGTCATTTAATCTCCATGTATCTGTGGTCTTTCCAGATTTTTTTCCTGTGGTTGATTTCTAGTTGCATATTGTTGTGGTCAGTAAAGATGCATGGTATGACTTCTGTCTTTTTGAATTTGTTGAGACTTGTTCTGTGGCTTAATATGTGGTCTGTTCTGGAGAATGTTCCATGTGCACATGAAAAGGACATGTATCCTGATTTAGGATGGAATTTCTAAATATATCTGTTAAATCTATCTGGTCCAATGGGTCATTCAAAGCCACTGTTTTGTTGTTGATTTTCTGTTTGGGTGATCTGTCCACTGATGTGAGTAGAGCGTTAAAGTTTCCTACTATAATTGTGTTACTATTGATTAGTTCCTTTATGTTTGTTATTAACTGTTTTATGTATTTTGGGTGATGCCATGTTGGGAGCATAAATATTTATGATTGTTACATCTTCTTGTTGGATTTTCTCCCTTATTATTCATATAGAGTCCTTCTTTGTCTCTTGTTACAGTCTATCGTAAAGTTTATTTTCTCTGATGTAAGTATTGCCACCTTGGCTTTCTTTTCACTTCCACTTGCATGATAAATGCCTTTCTACCCCTTCAATTTCAATCTGCCTGTGTCTTTAGGTTTGAAATTTGTCTCTTGTATGCAGCATATAGATGGGTCTTCCTTTTTTATCAATTCTGTCACCCTATATCTTTTGATTGGAGTGTTTAGTCCACTTACATTCAAAGTAATTATTGATAGGTATGTATTTATTGCCACTCTGTTACCTGTTTTATGGTTTTTTTGGCATTTTTTTTCCTTTTTTTTCCTCTATTCTCTCACAGTTTGCTGGTTTCTTTAGTGATATACTTGGGATTCCTTTCTCCTTATTTTTTGCATATGTATTACTGGTTTTTGATTTGTGGTTACCATTAGGTTTGTATATAACATCTTATGCATATAGCAGTCTATATTAAGTTGATGGTCACTCAGGGTTGAACCCGTTCTTTGCCCCCCCCCCCCAGTATTTTAAGTATGTATTGTCATACTTGACAATCTATTATTTTGTGATTCCTGTGACTGATTTTTATAGATATGCTTAATTTTACTGCTTTTGCACTTCCTACTTTTCCTACTCCTGCTTATGCTCTTTCTTTTCCATTCAGGGTCCCCTTTAACATTTCTTGTAGGGCTGGTTTAGGGGCCATGAATTCCTTTAATTTTTGTCTCAGATACTCTTTATCTCTCCTCTTATTGTGAATGATACAGCCTTGCTGGATAGAGTGTTCTTGGCTGCAGGTTTTTTTTGTTTTTTTTTTTTTTTTCCATTCAGCACTTTGACTCTATCATGCCACTCCCTTCTGGCCTACAATGTTGCTGCTAAAAAAATCAGCTGGTAGCCTTATGGGGTTTCCCTTTTATGTAACTGTTTTGTTTTCTCTTGCTGCTTTTAAAATTCTCTCTTTATCATTACTTTTTGCCATTTTAATTACTGCATGTCTTGGTGTGGACTGCCTTGGATTGATTTTGTTGTGGGCTCTCTCTCCTTCCTGGATCTGGAATTTTGTTTTGTTCACCAGATTTGGAAGTTTTCAGCTCTTATTTCTTCAAATAAATTTTCTGTCCCCTTTTCTGTGTCTTCTCCTTCTGGGGTCCCTATAATGTGAATGTTATTATGCTTAATGGTGTCACTGAGTTCCCTAAATCTGTTTTTCATTTTTTATTGTTTTTTTTTTCTCTCTCCTGTTCAGCTTGATTGCTTTCTACTACTCTGTCCTCCATTCTTCTGCTTCTTCTAGTATACTATTCCCTCTAGTGTATTTTTAACTTCACTTACCGGATTCTTCATCTCTGAGGGGTTCTTTTTTTTATGTTTTCTATGGGTTTGTTAGGAATCTCACTATGGCCCTCCACTCTCTCAAATCCAGTGAGGATCTTTATGACCATTACTTTAAATTCTCTATCAGGCATATTATTTATCTCCATTTCATTAAGCTCTCTTGCTATGATTTTGCCCTGTTTTCTCATTTGGGACCATCCTCTGTCTCCTCATTTTGTCTAACTCTCTATGTCTATTTCTGTGTTAGGAAAGTCAGCTACATCTCCTACTCTTTTTTTTTTTTTTTTTTTTGAAGTAGGCTCCATGCCCAAGGCGGAGCTTGAACTCGTAACCCCAAAGATCAAAAGTCACATGCTCTACCAACTGAGCCAGCTGGGCACCCCTACATCTCCTGCTCTTGAAAGTAATAGCCTTAGGAAGAAGAAATACTCTAGTACCCTGCCGTGTAATATCCCCTCTTCACCAGAATCTGGTGTTTCAGGGTTGTCTCCTATGTGGGTTGTGTACACCCTACTGTTGCAACTGAGCCAATTTGCCTTCAGTCAGGTTGTTTGCAATGGCTCTCTTTGCCTGTTGTGGGCAGGGTTTGGTCCCTGTGGTGTTCGTGGGCCAGTCTGGGGCCATCTTGGGCTTGAAGTGAGTCAGACCAGGCATTTGTCAGAAGTGCAGTAGCCCTGAAATGCAGGGCACTCTCCCTGTGTTGTCTCCCTTGCTTTTGGTGGTGAGCAGGCTCTGCAGTCAGACCAGGTGTCTGCCCCCAGCCCACAGTTGGGGCTGCAGTGGGAATGGTGTGTGTGGTTATCTTCCCCTCTCCCTGGCGCAGGAGTCACTCTGTAGTGGCGCTGGCCTCTGTTGGGGCTGCTGGCACACTGCCAGTCTTACGGCACCACTTTGGATGGGCTCTGGTCAAAAGCTTATTGGAGGAGGCAGGTTCACAGGAGAATGAAAGGGCATGGCACACTGTTAGCAAGTTGATTCTTGTAGGTGTTCGTGTGTCTAGGTTGGTGGGGGGGAGAGGGAAATGGTGCCTGCCAACCCTTTTGTTCTTGAAGAAGTCTCCCGATCCCTGCCCTTCTAGCACATTGCTCTGAGATTAGGAAACAAATCCCCCTCCCATATACCCCCAGGCATTTTTGAAACTGCTGCTTCTGTGCTGTATCTCAGTGGGGCTCTTGGTGGTGCTGTCTCTCTAAGGATGGGGACTCAGTTTCCTTTTGCCCTCCTGGCTGTCCCAGAGCCAAGCCCTCTGAGTCTTAAAGTCCCAGGTGTTAAGCCCCGCCAATTCTAAGAACTCACAAAATTAGGTCCCTCTGGTTTTCAAAGCCAAGTATTATGGGGATTTGTCTTCCTGGTGCAGGTCCTCCATGCCTGGGGTGCCTGGAGTGGGGAACTCCTCTTCTCTTTGTCTCCCCTCTCCACGCCCTTGGTATCCCTCTCCCCCAGGGGCAGTCCTGTGGGTCCGTTTACCTCCCAACTGCATCTCCGCCCTTCCTACCCGCTTTGATGTGTCCTCTTATCTACATTTAGCTGTGGAGAGTCTGTTCTGCCAGTCTTTGGGTCATTCTCTGGGTTACATACACTAATGTGGGTGTTAGCTACTTGTATCTGTGGGACATGGTGAGCTTAGGTCCTCCTAAGGACTTCCCCAGAAGTCCAAAATCTGTATTCATTGCCTAAGTGGAATTTAATCATTTGCAAATTAGGATGCAAA